ATCTGCTCTGGCAGACCAGCGTCTGTGAGAGATGATCCTTGTGCTAGCATAAGTTGGATCTTGACAATGTCGAGCATGCATATCGATTCGGTGACGGTGTGCTCGACCTGAATCCGCGGGTTGATTTCGAGGAAGTAGTATTCTCTGGTTGAAGGATTGACCAAGAACTCAAACGTCCCGAGAGAGTAGTAGTTGACCTGAGAGAGGCGTCAGTCCGGCATGACGAGGCAAGCGTATAGAGAAATCTCCAGCTGACCTTTCGTGCAATTCTCATGGCTGCATCGATGACTCTCGAAATCAGGTCTCGATCAGCTATCATACTGGGCGCAATCTCAACCACTTTCCGATACCCTGTTTGGATGCTGCACTCTCGCTCAAAGAGATGGCAGACCCCGCCTTTCCCGTCGCCAATAATCTGCACTTCGACGTGTCTGAAGCCATCGATGGCCGCTTTTTCCGCAAAAACCGCACGCGGAGGAGCTCTCTCTCTACGAAGATGTATGTTCCGCAAGTCGTCGACGTTGCGAATGAGCGTTATCCCGTGGCCGCCTCCCTCATCGACGGGTTTGATCATGATAGGGAGACCGATTTTAGCGGCGAAAGCTTCAATGGCGCCGGGGTTGGTCGTGGGAGATTCCAAACCCGGTAAGATTGGTACATCGGCTGATACAAGTCAATTGAGTTGGACTGCACAACAGGATTCGAGATGCGTACACCGGGCCGCCAACTCCCTGGCTCTGACCTTATCCCCCGTCCGCTCCAAGATTTCCCAGCCAGGGCCAACGACAACAGCCCCAGCCCCTTCCCACATGTGCTTCGCGAACTCTGGCGATTCGCTGAGGAAGCCGTAGCCGGGATGGACGGCATCGATTCCGTGCTTCTTGACAAGTGCCACGAGGACGGGGATGTCGACGTAGCCTTTTGGTGAGGATATCTCAACGGCATGGCTGGCGCTGTATGCGTGCGATGCATCTCCAGGGGTGTAGATGGCATAGGTTTCGATGTCGAGCTCTCGGGCCGTGGAGAGGATTCGAGTGGCTATTTCGCCTCTGTTGCTGACGAGGAGGCGTTTTATGGGGCGACGCGGGAGCAGAGACATGATCCCGTGGAGATTGGATATCTTTGTGCAATGAGATGGAAGGGGATCCAGAGATTGAGAGTTCAAAGTGATTTATTGAATTGTAGAAGGGTGGGATGAGAAAGGAGATATATAGTTATCAACTTGGGGAAACGATTGCGTTCACACGGAAGCAGAAGATAGATGTTAGTTCAAATGGCCAATCTAAATCATCACGAGTTGTTTGACGGCGATGTTGCCATTAACTACCTGGACGCGTGATGATGAACAGAAAGCATGGGTGCTTAAGTTACCTAGTTAGACGTTGTGGGGTCCCCAGATTGAGGGGATGACGGAATTGCCTCGGTCCACCAACCCATAGCTCCAACACCTCGCCTGCGGAGAGCTACCTACAACAATGAAAAGAGACCTGGAGTCCATCCGGGATGAACGATCTTCTATGAGATTACTCGTATACTCTCTGTAGGCCAGCAATGGCCGACAAAAAGGACGGCAAGCCCGATCAAGCCGAAACCGCAGCATCGCGTCTCTCTCAGGTTGCCAGCCATGTCGCCCAACCAGCTCCCAGAGCATTGAAACGACGCTCTCGAAAGGAAACGCTGCCCGAGCTGCCCGCCGACTACTCCGACATCCTGGGCCAACTCAACACCCTGCGCACCATCGCCGCAACGCCCGATCCCACGCACAGGGGATACGTGCGGCAGAAACAGGCGGGGAAGTTGTGGGTCAGGGAGCGGGTGGAGCAACTGCTTGACCCGGGGAGTTTCTATGAGGTTGGCAGCGTCAGTGGGACTGTGAAATGGAAGAAGATTGCGGATCACAAGGAGGAGCCGGTGGAGTTTGTGCCGTCGAATAACGTGCAGGGTAGGCTTTGTGTGGAGTCCGACTTGGGCGACATGGATTGACTCGGTGCAGGCTTCGGCAAGCTCAGAGGCCGGAAGGTTGTCTTCACGGCAGATGACTTTTCCATCAGAGCAGGACACGCTGATGGTGCGCTCATGGCTAAAACTGTACGTCCCAGCGCCATTGAGCGATCAGTCCCTGTTGATGTCTCCTAGGTTTACATGGAGAAGCTGGCAATTGCCCTTCAATTACCAATGGTCAAACTCGTAGATGGATCTTCCGGTGGCGGATCTGTCACTTCGATCCGGCAGATGGGATGGTCGTATGTACCACCAATGCAAGGGTTTGGCGAAGTGGTGGAGCAGCTGAACCGCGGTATCCCGAATCTGGGTGCGGTTTTGGGTCCAGCGATTGGTCTTGGGGCTGCTAGAGTTACTGTGAGTCTCCTTATCTCCACAATGTAACGTATGGATGGTAAAGATTTGTGCTGACTACTTGAATTAGGCCTGCCATTTCTCAGTCATGGCTGGTGACGTTGGCTCTCTCTTCAACGCCGGACCGAAAGTAGTCACAGGAGCAACCTTTGAAGAAGGTCTGTCTTTCAAGGATCTAGGAGGACCCAGCATGCACTGCACCAACGGCACCATCGACAACCTTGCGGCCAATGAGAGCGAGTGTTTCGAGCAGTTGAGGGATTGCTTGAGTTATCTGCCTAACTCGGGAACGCAAATGCCGCCAACGCTCCCCAACGACGATCCAATAGATCGCACCTCTCCCGAGCTCCGGACTGCCATCCCACGAAGACGGGAGCGTATGTACAATCCTAGGAAGATAATCACCACCGTCGTAGACTCGGGCAGCTTTTTTGAGATTGGTTCACGTTGGGGTACGGCCGCGATCGTCGGTCTTGCTCGCATCGGGGGCCGTCCCGTTGGTGTTGTATCGCTGAATTGTGAAGGTGAACCGACCGCCCTTTGCCTCTGGCATTTGGAAGTAGACTGACCCGTACAGTCAATGCCGGTGCTCTGGACGCTTTGGGCTGCCAGAAGATAACGCGCCATCTCAAGTTCCTCGACGTCTTCAACATCCCTCTGGTACAGTTCGTCGATATCCCGGGCTACTCCATCGGAACCGTGGCCGAGCGGACGGCGACGATGCGGCATGGAGTCCAACTTGCAGCGACTTACTACACCGTCACCATTCCCATCTTCTCCGTCATCGTCCGCCGCGTCTATGGCGTCGCTGGCGGTGTCATGGTCGATTCGCGAGACCCACACATGCGCGTTGCTTGGCCCAGCGGCGAGTGGGGCAGTCTGCCACTGGATGGCGGGATTGATGTGGGGCATGCGCATGAGTTGAGGGAGATTGAGAAGAGGGATGGGAAAGAGGGGAGGCTGAGGAGGTATAAGGAGTTGGAGGAGGAGTATAGACGGCTGATGAACCCCGTGAGGACAGCTAATGCGTTTGGTGTTGAGGAGATTGTGGACCCTGCTGTTACGAGACCTGTTTTGGGTGAGTGGGTTAAGCATGTGTATGAGGTTCTGTTGCCGCAAAGGATACAACAGCGGATTGCTGGTACACTGTCTCCACGCTTCGTATAGTGGTAAATTCTCATCACCGTTACGACCCCTTTCCGCAGCTCTTTTGTCGTTTGGCGCTCCCTCCCCGCTATAATTACATGTCTGACTGCGACGACTATCTACATGAGCATCTCACTCAAAGTTTCTGCTCAGCCATCCACTTTTCCGCCTCATCCTTGTACTCCTCCCGCCAGCGGCTCACTGGTGGTCTCTCGTTGACGATGTCGCCGACGGACCACATCATGCGCTTCTTGTCCTTCTCCTCTGTGACGTCGTTGTCCGGGCAGATGACGTAGAACTTGCCTTGGTCCATCTTCTCGTAGAGGTAGTCTGCAACTTGCTCGGGAGCCCACGCACCCGCTGGCTTCTCCTTTGACGGGACTGGGCCTCCACCGCTCTGGGCAAGACCGTTAGTGGATGTCACGTGAGAGGTAGGAAAATGGGACAGCCTACCAAGCCAGTAAAGGTCCAGCCAGGGACGAGCAGGTGTACGCTGGTCGTGGTGTCCTTCAGATCAAAGCTGAGATGCTCTGCAAGAGTCTTGACAGCGGACTTTGAGGCATTGTACGCTGGGTTACCAGGAGGGTTCGTGATGCCCTGCTTGCTTCCTGTAATGACGATAGCCGACGGCTTGTCCTTCTGTGCCTGAACGACAGGGACGAAAGTGTTGAGTCCGTATATAACACCGAACAAATTGGTGCCCATAACCTATCCCCCCCCCCCGCGAGTCAGCCCTGCAGCGACGATGGGGTCGCATCCAAGTGGAGCGAGAAGGTGCTCTCAATACACCTTCGCCCCTACCTTTTCGAAATACGCACTATCCTCCCAACCACTCTTGGCTCCGATGCCAGCATTCAGCATCAGGAAATCCACGCCCCCAAACTTCTTCTCAACCTTTTCCTTCAGCTCCGTCCACTGGTCCAGCTTCGACACATCCGTCTGATACGTCTCCACCTCGTCCGCCGCGCCGCCCGACAGCGTCTTCTTGGCCATCGCCAGCGTCTCCGCGTTGTTGTCGCACACGGCCACTCGCATCCCGTGCTTGCGGCAGAGCCGGGCCACGGCGAGACCGACGCCCGACGCGCCGCCTGTGATGAGGGCTGTGCAGCCTTTGGCGAAAACTGATGTTGGAGACATTCTCGGTGATGATCTAGGCCTTTGGCAACAGGAGGAATTGAGGAATTGGATTTGGTTCAGGTACGATGAGGTTCTGACTTGTTGGAGACGGAGATAATCTGTCCAAACTCCAGAGGATGTGACATCAGCATCGCGGGGTTGAGAATGCGCCGTTTGTTGCTAAGTTAGCGCATCTGCGTCTCTTTGGTGTCTCTTTCTCCATCATGATGGCTCTTCACTTTCCAGAACCTCTTACCTAGATGGACCCCGGGCAGCAATGCATCATCAACAGGGCCACCCCAGTCCGGGATGAAATGATTCCTTCTGGATTATCTGAACTTTTACAGAATTGTCCGACTCTCCTCTCACCAACCAATCACAGCGCGTCGGTAGCTCAGTGGTAGAGCGTGGGACTGCAGTATCCTGCTGTAGGCATCTTAAGGTCACCAGTTCAATCCTGGTTCGGCGCTTCGTTTTGCGTATCCTGTACTCTGTGAAAGACAAGTGGATTCATTGGGTCCTGCCAAGGTCCCCTTTTTTGTTGGCTCCACAGCCGAGAACATTCACTTGGCCCATGAGTCAGGAGAGCCAGATAGATTGAGGAACCAAGCAATGGAAGGGAACGGCATACGCTGGGAAGTAAGCTCATGCGTCTCGGGAAGGTGGATGCTGAAATGACGTTCTTGAGGTTGTCTGCTTTTCAAAGATATTTGATGTATGGATGCAGATTTTGCAGGGTGGTGTTCTTCTTTGGAAGACTGAGGTGTTGTCGTCCGTGCGCGGATAGATTATTTGATCAGTGCTCTTGAACTTGAACCCCCAACCAACATCACAATCAGCACTGTTACTTCATGATAGAGTCAAAGTACCTGACAATTACATCCGGGAATCTGGGGGTCTCTCAAGAGTAAAACGTAGGATTGAGGATTGATCAGAGCTGCCGGTTTGCGGGTATTCATCCTGCCATCGTACTTAGTGAACAAGTCTATGGATGTCAAAGTAAAACCATGATCCAGAAGGATTAAGTCACCATGGAACGATTTGAACTTTCCTTCAACCGTCAAGCCCCGCACGCTGTATATTCAGATCTGTGGTACCCTCCATCATTTGGCTCGCACGCTACCATATCCTGCGGCGATGTCCCTTTGGTCCAGCTCGCGGCTTGATACTACGCAGTCATTCCGAAACACGCAAGCTGATGGAGAACAGCTCGGGTTATCTACTCAAAGCAGGATGGAAGGCACGACTGCTATTCTTCCCCCGGATCCAGCCACCTTAACTCCATCTGGCACGGACTTAGCATCCGGACATTAGACGGACCATCATCCTCCAACTACAGAACAGCAAACATAAAACAGGCACGAAAGCCGTGCAAAGCACACCACCCCAGCACTCAACCCCCCAACTCAAGCGAACCGCACCGAAAAACAATGCCACCAACCCCCCACCAAACCCACCGCGCCCTCATCCTCCACGAATTCGGCCAACCCCTCACCCTCTCCACCGTGCCCACGCCCCCACCCTCCCCCGGCACCGTCATCCTCCGCATCCTCGGCAGTCTCCTCCCGCCCTACACCGGCGCGGTCCTCAGCGGCGACCGCGCGCGCGCCTACCCGCTCCCGCTGCCCTGCGTGCCCGGCACCGGCGCAATCGCCCGCGTCCACGCCGTGTCGGCCGACACGACGGCCTTGGCGGTTGGGCGGCTGGTGTTTGCCGACTGCCACACCCGGGCGAGGGATGATGACGGGTTGGCGTTGCTGATCGGCTGGCATACGGGGGGGACGGTGGCGGGGCAGAGGCTTGCTGCCGAGGTGTGGAGGGATGGGAGTTTTGCTGAGGTGGCGGCGTGGCCGTTGGAGAATGTCGTCGTGCTGGATGAGGGGGCTTTGATGGGGGTGGAGATGACGGGGGGGTTGGGGTACAGCGTTGCGGAACTGGCGGGCGGGTTGTCGGGGTTGATGGTGCCGTATGGGGGGTTGGTGGAGGCGGGGGTCGGGGCGGGGGATGCGGTTGTGGTGGCGCCGGCGACGGGGACGTTTGGGGGGTTTGCGGTTGCGGTGGCGTTGGCCATGGGGGCGAGGGTCGTTGTTGCTGTTGGGAGGAGTGGGGAGAAGTTGGCGGAGTTGAGGAAGCGTCATGGTGCGAGGAGGATCAGGACGGTTCAGCTGAGTGGTGGTGTTGAGGAAGATGCTCAGGCTGTTGCAGCTGCGGCTGGTGGTAAGGGCGCTGATGTTTATCAGGACTGGTCTCCACCGGGTGCTGGGGCCGATGGAACGAGTCCGTCGCATATCGAATCGTGCATCAAGGCGCTGAGACCTGGTGGGACGGCGTCGCTGATGGGTGGCATCACGGGGAATGTGAGTATTCCCTACGGCGTTGTGATGCACAAGAACCTGAGGGTCTTGGGACGGTTCATGTATGAGAAGAAACAGGCCGAGCAGCTGGTGAAATTGGTGGAGAGTGGTCTGCTGGAGCTGGGCGAGCGTGCAGGGAGACGTGTGAGGGGTCAGTTCGGACTGGAAGAGTGGGAGAAAGCGCTGAGTGTCGCGGCTGAAGACAAGGGAGGTGTTGTGTTGACTCCATGAGGTGATCTCAAGATGTAAAGAGAGAAATCAATCTGCACTCTGACTGCAAAGCTGCGGAGAAATGAAATGGTATCTTGAATTTACGTACGAATCAATCATAAACCCAAATCCATACAATTGTTAAACCCAAAACAAGTAACCCAAACTCCAAAACCAGTACTGATGATACATCGCTCGTTAGATATTGATGCTCGGTAAATCTTGAAAGTCATTAGAACACTTGTTCTTCTCGTTAGCCGCTTCAATCTTTCCACCTCGCAAGGAACTTGGCCATGTCGTCACTTGGCATCGCTGCCGCAGAAGCCTGTCACATGTCAGCCAAGTATAACACACCGGACATGTCCCGTCTGCATGGGTAAGAGACATACAGTGTTCTCAATGCTGCTGACGCTGAAAGTCTGTGTCATCGTAACCGTCTGCACCTGCGTCGGTATCGACGCATACGTCTTATAGAAGCTCGCGATCGAGCTCGTGGGATACTGGGGCGTAGGACTCTTCATCGTGATCTGCGTCGGCGGCACTTTCTGCATCGGCGCATACTTGGTCAAGCCCGTCTGCAGCGTGTACGCCAGCGCATAGCTGGCATCCACTCCACCCGCCGCAACTTGCTGATTAACCACCTGCACGGGGTTGTATGTGTTTACGTTCGCGGGGCCGGCGGCGGCGCCGTTGTACTTCTCGATGTTGGCGGCGATGGCAGCGGGGAAGGTTCCGGTCATGCTGGGCAGCGTGAAGCGCGACGAGTACGAGGTTACTTGCTGGCCGTTGGCCGCGGTGCTGATCATGCGCAGGAAATAGGCGTTGGGCAGGTTGCCTCCGAGGGTTGCGGCGATGGCGGCGGAGGCGGTGTTGCCGGTTGCGAAATCACCTGCAGCCTCGATAGGCGCGACCTGTACCTATAAGGTGGTTAGTCGGGTTGAGTCCTGCTTGTTGTTTTTGCCTCGACATGTCGGGCCTGAGGTTCGGACATACAATCTCGTCGGGGGAGTTGCCTCCGGTGCAGAGAAAGAGCTCGTAGGTCTTCAGGTCCGAAATGAGCGGCGAGGTCCCATCGTCTGTCCAGTCGGTTGTAATCGTCAAGCCTGCTACAGGTGCGCCGGCGGCTGGCGACGTGAAGGAGACATCGGCCAAGGCAAAGGGCACGAAGGCCAGGAAGTAAGCAAGGAGACGGAGCTCCATTGCGACGGTGATGGCAGAGACGCGTTAAAGAGCGTAACGAAAAGGAGCGAAAGAGGGTCGGTGGGCGATACGGGGGTGTTGATCAATGTATGGGGCTGTTGTGGAGTTGTGGAGTCGTGGACGGGAAGATTGCGGTGGTCGCTGGTCAGATTTCCCCGAGCGGACGTGACGATGCGGCGGCTGTGCTGTTGATCCCGAACTGCCAGACCCTGCCGATCTCACCACCGGAGTACAGAGTACGGATTCAACGGTCAGAGGTTGATGCACGCTATGCTCCTAATTCCTATCGTACTAAAGCTTCTCGTTCCTGTGTCTGCGCTATTTGGTTACGGTAAACGATGAGGGAGGAACATTCCCTGGTGTATCTCCATAGAACATCCAAACTCCAAACACCAAACACCTCGCCAATAGATTCCTGGATAGTAGTACAGTACACTCATCGCGGATACTCGTTCACCATATGTCGCCATCCTCTTTGATTCAAGCGACCACCTCGCGCATCGGTGGTACTTTTGGTCGGAAACTCAGGGGCAGTTTCGCTCCCATGACGGCCGCCTGTTCGCCAGCCTGCACCAGCGCCATCATCTTGCAGTACAGGCTTTTCGCAGTGACCTGGAGCTCAAAATCCATCAGGTAGCATACGCTGACCTCCAGTTTCTGAAGCTCCGTCTCTCTGACACCGCCAACGCCCGCGAATCGCGATTGCGGATACCGGAGATCCTCCAGAGCCTTCATTGCCACCCTTAACGTCCCCAGCAACAACCTGTGCACCGTCCTCGATGTGACCGGCACGACCTTATCCTCGAGAGCTAGTTTGTAGATGTAGGCGCCCGCGGCGAGGTAGACGGCGGTCGACATTGGGCAGTATCGCTGCATGCGCATGAGGTAGTCTTGCAAGCATATCGGCGGTGGGACCCGCGAGAAGAACTTGCGTGCAATGGCTGCCTGCTGCGCGCGCATTTCCACGTCGACAACAGCAGCAGACGGCTCGTGGCAAAGCGCTTCGGGGCTCCCGATGGCGATGCCTTTGAACGTCGGCGCTTGCAGGTCGTGGCTCGGTACGGGTGTTGCGGAGCGAGAGGTACTGCGTGATCTGCTCTCAACTCCCAACGCTGCCATGGCTCTCTGAGGGGTGGTTGGGCGACTGATAGGTGGGGTAGGTGGGATGTCGCCGGTCAGGTTCGCGAGGGCTTGCACGGCGCGGCAGAGCATCTTCATCGCCGTTTCGGGCGACATGGTCGAGGGGTCCCATTCTGGCTCGGATGGCGGGCTGGGTGCCTCTTTGTCGGGAGTGGTGATGCGCGGGATGACGCCCGTGTCGGCGGAGGGGTTTGGACGCGGCGGTTGCGCAATCTCGCATGGCTTGGAGGGTTCCTCGGAGCAGGCTCCGGACAGCATAGTCGACGTCGCCATGGACAACGGAGAGGATGTATGGCGTGTAGTGTTGGAACGAAAGCTGGAGCGGGGAATTGCTAGTCACTTCGTCGTTGACTCCTCCCGTATCGAGCGGCCATGAGAGGAGGAGAGCTGTGGCTGACAGATGAAGGCGCAATGCTCATAATGTCGAGCAGAGGCAGGGCCGGGGCGGGAAGAGGAGGCGACGGCTGCTGGACGGAAGTGGAGGGGGTGGGCCAGCAAAATAAGTTATACGATGGCGCGTAGGGTGGAGTGGGTGGAGTGGCTGCGGTTGCTGCGGTTGCTGCAGG